CTGAACCGCAAATTTGTAATACATGTTGTGAACCATTCTTGGTGACGTGAATTGTGAATTGTGAATCAGAAGTGTCATCTCATTAAACATGTGATAAGAGTCATGAATCATGATATCTTTACCGTGTCAGAAGTGTCATCTCATTAAACATATATTGCACAAATCTTGCATTTCATTTTGTGATGATGATATATCTGTTAAGCTAGGACCTAAATGTTACAGGTATGGTAATATATCTCATTAGGTATAGGATAGTTCTTACGGTAAAGACTAGACTCAGGTATATTGACCTGGTGATTGTGATTTTTGTGAGCTAGAATCTATTGTGGTCTTGTTTGGTTACTACAACCTGTTGAAAGAAAAGCTTACAAATGTTGACATGAAGTAAATCTCATGTCTTCTAATTTGAGAGCTTACTCAATAAATAATGAAATGACGATGAATTGACACTATGAAATGGATGTTATTGTTTCTTTTAAAACAGGCTACATGATGGAATCATTATGTTGCGACTGATCAAATGATTTTGTGGTCCATACATCGTTATAACGCATACTCTAGTGTTGTTAACTACACACTGTGAAAAGGCTATGAATAGCATTCCTACTTAGATGCAAACGATTTTTTAAAGTTGAAATCCAAAGATTCTCGTAAGCTCTCCCTCTTCTGTGACCCTTGAAGAGGTGGATATGCAGATTTGACATATCAAAAATGCAGGATTCATCACAAGATGCAGTTCCATCTTTTACCATTCATTTTCCTTTAATTATACTTTTCTGTCAATATTTTATTTATTAAAAATATTAATTAATAGCTGAGATTCGTGCAGTTCATGAATAAACTACAGGAGATCTTGATCCATAATAGATACATCACCATACTTAGTTTGCAGTAAGATCGAACAAACCGGCCAGTAGAGTTGGTAATATAAACCGAGGCTCACCTACGATTCTAAAAATGTTAACACATTTAGGATGCAAGTTTTTTGACCTAGACTTTAATTGCAAGTATGGGATGATCTGCAGACTTTTTGCACCAATTTTTTTTTAATAAAATGAACTTAATTAAATTTCAGCAAAAGTTTGTGTTATTATTTATGTCAAGTATATCATAGTGAAGAGAACAGTCAAGTGTGTTGTATGTTGGTTCATAAATATGCACGATAACATAATATTGTCCTAGTGATGGTATTGGAAAAACTTAACTATGTGTGAGTGACACTCTAGGAGCACTTATTTTTGGACAATTTTAATTTAGAACTTTTTTCTGTTTTTGGTATTTAGTGGTATTGTGGACCAAGGACAAACCAGTTAGCCTGCGAGATATGCAGAGTGAGCTTATATGGGCAGCACAGCCCGTATACCCAGCTCTATCGGTCAATCTAGTTTTTAAAAGAATGAGTTTTACTCAAAAGTTATACGAATTGTTTTTAAACAATTAGAAAAAGGCTGCAACTGAAATATAGTTGGGTGAAAAAAAATTGTTCTTTAGCGTATGCTTAACAGAAACTGTTTCTTACTCTTTTTTTTATAACATTTTCCTATCTATAAAACTAAAATTAGAGAAATGCATTGAAAACCAAAACAGGGTTCTATTTTTCTCATGGAACTGCAGCATTGAGTATTAACTATCTATCTTCTGTTCAATAATCAAATCGATCAGTTACATATGGGGATTGGGGAACAATGCAAGTTTGGTGGACTTCCACTAACAATGATCAATCGTATAATTGCTATCAGGTAGAGAGAATGTATGAAGAGAAATTGTGAGAGAGGAATGCACCTTGGCCGGAGTACAGAACCCTCTCAAAGTAATAATATTCATTTGAGTTTAATGGAGCTTCCTTTATTGGGTCTCTTGGGAGCTAGAGCATTGGTAACCTACATGGGAAGGGGGGGGGGGGGGCCCTTC